GTGGGAGATAAACTGTGCAGACATCAACCTTCTTACCAGACTGATGTAAACCCTGGGACCTATAGGTCTGGGGCAAGTCCCAATATTTCATCTAAACTGAGAGACAATTTGTTGCATTTTGTGCCTCTGCCCTGAGATAAGAGATAGGTCCCTTAGGATATGGCAGGCAAAATGTAGCATATTTTGACTTTCTACTCCTACTCATTTGTGAGGAAACCCATAAGGCGGCCAGTTTTGAGTGGATTCTAGAGCAGGAAATGGCTCTGCAGAAAATCCAGGCTGGAAACCAGCTGTCCTGAACCTCAGGCCATGTGACTCAACAGATCTGGTGTTATTGAAAGTTACAAAAACTGACATAGAAAAATAGGATAAACACAATGCAGATCCTCAGGGTTTTGGATCAAAGGTATGTCTCCTTCTGCAGACACTATCCCCCATTTGGAAAGCAGCTCCTGGCTTATTACTGGGCACAGAGAAATCTGAATGCCTGATCACGTGACACCAACAGGGGCATTGTTACCTGAACTGCCCATCATGTCCTGGGTGCTGTCTGAGCTACCAAGCCCTGACATGGGGTGTGCACCGCAGTACCCATCTTCCATGGGAAAGGTGTGTATGAGATCAGGATTAAGCAGGTCTGGAGGGCACAGGTAAATGCCCCAGCAGGTGGGCACCTGCTCCTCCTGCCTCTTCATCTACCACAACTATGGACTCCTGGGGATTCCCTGTGACTTCTTTACAGAGCAAGAAAAGGGCAGGATGAATTCTCACGATGAGCTGGCACCAGACAAAAGTGGATGGCAGCTACATTAGTGTCCCACTCACAGGTGGCCCTGAAGGAGTGAAGTAGGGAAATCATCCAGGTGGGAAAACTTCAGGGGTCCACCTGTATGGAGGGAGACATAGCCTTAGGTCCACTTGTAAATGGATCCATGGTGGGCCCCCTGGTCAAGAACAGAATAAAAGAATAAAACTGAGACAGGAAGAAGATGCAGACAGTCCTCTGGGGACGGGCAGAGTGTGGGGTTGCATGTCCCACGCACATGCCCACCAGGACACACACTGACTGAGGAGACAGCTCTTAATATTCAGTGGACAGCATCTGGCAGCTTCCTTCCCCAGCAGAGCTTGCTCACTGGGTCTACATGCAACATGGCCATGGGGCAGGGACAGAGGCCGTACATGGTTAGGACAAATGGGTTGACTCTCTCCAGGCTGACTGGCTGTTGACTGTGCTCAGCACCCAACCCAACACAGGCAGAGGCCACTGTGAAGCCCCTGGCATGGCGTCGTTCTACAGCAGGATGACCTGGCCACTGGAGGGAGGTCGAAGACACAGCACACTTCCTGTCAGGGAGGGGACGTAGCTTTGTCCCCACAGGGATGGACACACACTGTGGGTTCTGATTTTCCCTCCCTGCACTCAGCACTTCTGTGAACACTGCCATTTTCGGATTTAGAAAATGTCTTTTGTATTGGGATGGTGTCCCGTGCCGCGCTGCTTCCCACTAGGGGACACATCGTAAGGCAAAGGACATGAGCTAGTTACTCCCACCCGTGGGACTCACTGACCTTCCCAGGCGCCCACTACACTGAGGCAGTCGGCTTATCAGAATGGAACAGCCCATGAGTGGCTTATTAGGACACCAGTGAGAGACCATACCCTGCCATCCAACAGGAAATGCTGTACATCTTACACCAATGGCCAGCCTATCATGCCACCCCCTGCACGGCCAGCCTACCATGCAACCTCCTCCATGGCCAGCCTGTCATGCCACCTCCTCCATGGCCACCCATCATGCCACCTCCTCCACGGCCAGCCTGTCATGCCACCCCCTGCACGCCCAGCCTATCATGCCACCTCCTCCATGCCAGCCTATCATGCCACCACCTCCATGGCCAGCCCATCATGCCACCTCCTCCACAGCCAGCTGATCATGCCACCTCCTGCACGGCCAGCCTATCATGCCACCTCCTCCATGCCAGCCTATCATGCCACCTCCTCCACAGCCAGCCCATCATGCCACCTCCTCCACGGCCAGGCTATCATGCCACCTCCTCCACAGCCAGCCCATCATGCCACCTCCTACACGGCCAGTCTATCATGCCACTTCCTCCATGCCAGCCTATCATGCCACCCCCTCCACGGCCAGCCTATCATGCCACTTCCTCCATGCCAGCCTATCATGCCACCCCCTCCACGGCCAGCCTATCATGCCACTTCCTCCATGCCAGCCTGTCATGCCACCTCCTCCACGGCCAGCCTATCATGCCACTTCCTCCATGCCAGCCTATCATGCCACCTCCTCCACGGCCAGCCTATCATGCCACTTCCTCCATGCCAGCCTATCATGCCCCCCCCTCCACGGCCAGCCTATCATGCCACTTCCTCCATGCCAGCCTGTCATGCCACCTCCTCCACGGCCAGCCTATCATGCCACTTCCTCCATGCCAGCCTCTCATGCCACTTCCTCCATGGCCAGCACGCGTGGGTCCAGGAAATAAGGAGTGCCCCTCCCACTGCTGCACCGAACAACCCACTGCAAGAATGTTTGCTTCTTGTCCCTGTGGCCTTGGGACAATGTGGATGAAGAATCCCATCATAGCTGGAGTCGATAGAAAGCCAGGACCGCCCTCTGCCATTCTGTGCTCCTCGTGCTGCTGAAACAACAGCAAAGCAGAGGGACGACTGACCCCGATGACCAGACGGATGTTGGGTGGCTGGGTCTGGGAGGCAGGCAACTTGTGGGGGGTCATATTTCCTTGGCCAGTGGCCCTATTCGGTGGAAAAGTGCAGAAACCTGATAAGCACAAGACCATCCAAGACTCACCCCCATAGGAGTGAAGGCATGGGTCACCCGTCAGTGGTCCCAAGGAGGTGGTGAGGGAACATGGAATGGGTGGTGAAAGGAGGCAGCTGTGATTGCCACCAGCACCACACCCAGGACCTCAGCAGCTATCACATCGTTTTCTCATTGTGGTTGATGAAGAACCAGTGGTTTAATGCTATGGGAGCAGGACTTCATTGTCACTATCACACAATGCTACAGTGATTGGGTAATGGATTGGAACTGGGTGTCTTCTGTATCAAGGAGTCTGATTTTCATCTGGACAAAGGAAAATGGTGGATGCTGAGGGGGGAGGGGTGGACTGTTCTGGACACTTTCTGTTTCCTTTTTCAGATTCACTCTCCTTCCTTTTCCCCTCGCTTTGCAGTGTGAGTGGCAGATCTATGGGGACTGCAGCAACGGGATCTCCTGCCTCTGGCTTCCAGCTGGAGTCAGCCAATGGGGAGCCCCAAAAGGAGACTACAGGGAGGACATTGACTGAGGTTAGGACATTAATTCCCCCTTCCCCTTTGTGAAGGTAAATTCTAGGTGTCAACTTGGTTAGATGAAGGAATGCTAAAAAACCTGATAAAGCAATCTTTTTAGGTGTGTCCATGATGGAGTTTGGATGTGTTGTCCCCTCCAAAACTCATGTGGAAATTTGATCCCCAATGTGGCAGCGTTGGAAACTGACTGAGTCATGGCGGCAGATCCCTCTTGAATGGATTAATGCTCTCTATGGGGGAGGAGGGGTAGTGAGTGAGTTCTCGCTCTATTAGTTCCCACGAGAGCTGATTGTTTAAAGGACCCTGGCACCTCCTCTCTCTCTCTCTCTCTCTCTCTCTCTCTCTCTTTCGCCATGTGATCTGCTTGTCCCCACCGGCTGCCTGCCACTTTTCCGCCATGAGTAGAAGCAGCCTGAGGCTCACGTCAGATGCAGCTGTCCCAGAATCATAAGCCAAATAAACCTCTTTCCTTTATAAATTACCCAGTCTCAGGTATTTCTGTTATAGCAACACGAAATGGACTAATACAGTCCACGAGGGTGTTTCCAACAGAGATTAGTATGAGAGTCGAGTGGACTGGGTGGGAACCTCAGTGTGGGTGGCAACCCTCCAATCCACTGGGGGTCCAGAGAAAAAAAAAGACAGAGGAAAAAGGTCAATCTCTCGATCCGCTTGAGCTGGGATACACCCTTCTCTCCTGTCTGTGGACATCAGACCTCAAGACTCTTGAGCTTTTGGGTTCCAGGACTTAAACCAAGGACACCATCAGCTTCCCTGGTTTTGAGGTCTTTGGACTTGGACTGAGCCACACTACGGCATCCAGTTTATAGACGGCCTATGATGCGACTTTTCTTCACAGTCATGTGAGCTAATTCCCCTAATGATCCCTCTCATATAATTATAACATATCCTATTGATTCTGTCTCTCTGGAGAACCCTGACTAATACACCCTCCCTCTAGTGCCACTGTGGGGTGGATGCATTTTTCAGCTAGAGGTCCTGTAAATAAATCTCTTTCTCCCCACCTCCCGTGTGTGTGTGCGTGTGTGTGTGTGTGTGTTTGTGTGTGTGTGTGTGTGTGTCTGTCTGTCTGTCTGTCTCTCTCTCTCTAGCACCCTGAAGACTCTGCCATCACCCAGGCTGGAATGGAGATGTGGACCAGAACAATGAATGACGGGCCTTGGATGCTGATTCTCTCACCAAATACTTCTCTCCCCCCATGTCAGAGCTCTGGCTGTCCTGACCTCCCCTCACATAGAGAAATCCCAGCACTGGGAGGAAGGACAATGTTTTTATTATGAGACACATGTGGCCACTCCTTGAATATCCCTTCACCCATAAGGCAAGTTCAGCTGCTCCCAGGCCCTTCCATATGTTGTTATCAGGTGATAAAGTGTGTGGGTGTGTGGGGGATGATAACTCATGGAGAGGATGGGAAAATGATTTGGTGTCCAACATTATTAGGTTATGAGGTCAGAGGGGCAGTTGGTTTCAGGGGGTGGGGGCGGGCAGCAGAGGTTAAGAATCAAGGCTAAGTGGAGTTAGCAGTAAAGGCAAAGCCCTCCACACCAAAGGGCTAGGGCTAGCCCAGCCCCCACTACCCAAGCCAGGTGGGGGGCAGGAGCAACTCCGTCATGGCTAACAGGCTTCTCATCCTCTTCCTGACCCTCAAAATTCTCCTTCACAGAGAAAGCCCCAATATTCCGGGTGTGGTTCAACAACGATATTGAAGATGGGGCCATACAGCCCTGAACGCTCAATGTAGAGGTCACTCCACCTGGAGGGTGAAGACTGAGTCAGAGAGGACACAGTGCCACACGCCTAAGTTCCTCAGACCCAGGGGTCCAGGTCCCCAGCCCCTCCTCCCTCAGACCTAGAAATCTAGGTCCTCAACTCCCTCCACTCTGAAACCCACGAGTCAGGGCCACAAGCAGCCTCCCACCTCAAGGCCAATGACTTCAGGCCCCCAACCCCTTCATCTTTGGAACCCAGCCTTCAGCACTCACCTCCCCTGAGATTAATGTGTCCATTATAACAATGAGTGGTGCCATTAGGGCATGTTGCATAGTTAGAGTTCGGTAAGCAGGAACCAGACAACTGCACACAGACAGGACAGCGCAGGTCTCCCGGGGCGGGGGCAGCTGGGGGGCACAGATGAGGTTGGAGTGCACAGCTCTGCTCTCAGCTGCAGCCACCCCTGTTGAGCCCAAGCGTCTGTGTCTCTGGGGCTCCACCTCCCCAAGTCCTTGGATCCCATACCTGGATGAGGGAGGGCGTTCAGCAAGACGCTGCTAGTGCTGGCTCTGTTGCAATAGTCGGAGGAGCAGTACCGGACATAGGAAGCGACCAGTACTCCAAGGGGCCCCGAATGTATGGAGACAGTCTGGGAATCTGGCACCCCAGCCTTGCTGCAGCCTTTGCTCCCCAATAGGAGTGATCTGTATCCTGAGGGGTGAGACAGTGAAAGCGGGGCTGGAGGAGGGAGAGGCCCACGGACGGCAGGGGCTGTGGATTTGGGCTCCCTGGATCCACAATGCTCCCCAGGTGAAGGGTGAATGCAGGTCTCCTGCTTATAATAGCTCAAGTCATGTTTAGTGTGGGACAAAGACAGGCCAGAGCCTGGGTCCTCCCGCCAGCTCTGCCGCCTCCCAGTGCTGGCTCAAACATCACCTGCTCCACAGAGACTTCCCTGGGCACTGTCTGACGATCACAGCCTCCGCCTCACTTTCTCTATCTCCTTTTCCCTGCTGGATTTCTCTCTAGAGCTTTTATCTTCATATCCATATTCTCCTCCTTTTTGTTTTTGTTTTTTTGTGTGTGTTTCCCCACTAGAGTGCAAAGGTGTGAGAAGGCGGATCAATTGGATCTGCAGTGCCTAAAACAGGTGCTCAAGAAACATCTCTTGAGTGAGTGAAATTACTGGGATTCCCCTGTGCCGGCACTGTTCTCAGCCCTTGGCATGGATTTCCACCTACATCTTCACAGTGCCCAGCAAGGCAGGTACTATTATAGCCGTTGCCTCGTGCCAGTTTTCTTGAGGAGAAACCGAGGCCCAGAGAGAGAAAGAGTTGGGCTGAGATTGCCCAGTGTGAAAGGAACAGACCAGGAAATTCAGGGGATGGAATCCAAGGTGGGGATGCAGGACACCCGGTGCCCATGTATCGCCCTCGTGCCCAGCCTACATACCCACATCTATGAGCAGCAGCGTCTCCTGACACACCTCTCCAGCACCACACATCTGGTAACTAGATGTAGTCCATTCAGCGGGTTCTTGAGTCAAGTTGGCCTTAATCTGCAATGTGACTCCCCGATGACAAAACAGAAAATCTGGGGAGAGAAAATCACCAGGGTCTGTGTAAGCCAGGGAACTCACCATGTCTGTCCCCCCAGTCCTACGCTAGGGAAGGAGATCACATAGCTGGTCACACTCCTTGTGACCTGGCCATAGTGTCCCTCAATGTTGAATTAAGAAGGAACTTGGAAGTCTAAGCCTTATTGGCATTGCTTACCACGTTTCTGCTTAAACAATTGCAGGAGCCTCCTCTTGGCGCCCTGAGGGAGGCTGTTTCTCCCTTTCCATGTGAGAGGGACTGACAGCTCTTCCTCACCCTCAATCCCTACTTCCCTATCAAGACTTCAAGCTCCTCGACAGGATAAGGAGGAAGGTAGCCTGAGACCATCCATGTATTTCTTTTAACTGAGAAACACTAAGTTCCAAACAAACATGCTCAAATGCCTATTATGTACTGAGCATTTATTTGGTGTCCAGTGGTTGTAATTACTTCCACGGATTAGCCCATTTAATCCTTCCCACCTTATCTGGATTGCCTATTTCCTCACAACAACCCCCAAAGTAGGTGGTATTATCATCATCATCAGCTCCATGTTCAAGATGGGGAAACAGAGGCAGAGGAGTGGCCAAATAGCCCAGTGTCACACAGCTAGTAGGTGGCAGGGCTGGTCTGAGACTTCGGGCATTCTGGCTCCCTAGGGTCAGGGCGGAGGTGGGTGATGGTGAAGACAGGTGTTGATGACTATCCCCAGCTACCTTGGTCCTGGTGGCCCTCAGGAGTCTAGTTTGAAAACCATGACCCTCGCCTGTTCTTAAGGCCATCACATGATCAGCAGCTGTGTGTCCCATGATGCAGAAACTCCTGTGCTGAGGACTCAGTGCCCACCGACCTGTGGAAGTTTCCCAACAGCCCCATGAAGGAGGGCTGCTCATTTCCCCATTCACAGATGACAAAAGAGTGGCTCCTGCTCCTCGCCTTCAAGCCTGATCCTCATTATCCCCACCCACATTACACCTTCTTGGTCAATGGTGGTTCCTTTCTTCCATTGCTCAAGCCAAAAACATCACTGTCATTCTGGACAGTTCCCTTTCTCCCACACCCCACCTTGCGTCCATCAGGAAATCCTGTTGGCTTAAGCTGCAAAACATCTCTTGACCTCTGTCACCACTTCTATTGCTTCCTCCTAGGCCCAGGACCCCATCAGCTCTCCCCCACCTCCTCCAGGCTCTCCCTGTGCCCCTCCCCTCTCGCATCCCCCTCGCTCTGTTCTCTGCTTAGCAGCCAGAAGGATCCTCATTAAAGCAAAGTCAATTCATGTCACTCTCTGCTCAGAAGACTTCAGTAGGTCCCCTCCCACGTAAAATAAAATGCTAAGTCCTTACAATGGCCCATGAGGCCCTACACGAACTGGCTTCTGCCTACCTCTCCACCCACACGCCCTTGTCCACTCTCTCTGGATCACTCTGCCCCACCCACATGTCCTCCTAACTAGGGGTACAACACAATGTCAGAGAACAGGAGGAGGAGGGAAGTGTGCTCCAGGTGACAGAAGAGCTCATATGAGGGCATGGGGTGGGAGAGGACTGGGGGCAAGAGCACAGGTTGTCTCAAAGGGCCCCGGCAGAAGCCCATGTTGCAGAAGAACCAGGGGCTGGAACATGTGAGGCCTCGACCGGCCCCCTAAGAAATGGGGCAGTGGTTGCAATGACAGCAGTGGGCCAGACAGGCACACGCCCACCTCAGGCCCTTTGCATGTGCTCCCCTCGCCACATCTGGAACCATCCCCTTATCCTCCCCAGATCTGATGAAAGAGAATAATGAGATGTTCAGACTTTTGATTCTCAAATGATGCTGATACTCAAAAGCTGGTTCAGCAGCAGAGTAGAGACCAGATCCCACACCTCTCTGGCCCAGACAGACCTTCTCTCACTGGGACCACTGCCCAGTTCCTTAGGGGGGCACTCAAGGCCTCACATTTTCCAGCCCCCGATTCTTCTTCTACATGGGCTGCAGCCAGGGCCTGTTGGAGACAACCTGTGCTCTTGCTCCAGCCCTCTCCCACCCCGTGCCCCGCGTGAGCTGGTCCCCTGCCAGTCCCTCCTCCACTTGTTCCCTGACATCGTGTTGCACTCCCAGCTTCTGACACCTGCTCTTGCTGATGCTCACTAAATATTTGCTAAACTGCTAAACTGAACTTAACCAGGGAAGGCAAAGTCACCCTCCAGATCTGGCTCTGATGTCAAAAGCTAACAGAATATGGGTATGTATTAAGAACATTTATTTGTGGCATTAATAGCTGTGTTTTATGTGGCATGTGGGTGGTTTGTGGAGTGTATGTGTATGTTATGTGAGGGGTGCATGTGTGATGTGCATGCGTGGTGTGTATGTGTGTGTAGTACATGTGAGGGGCTGGATGTGGTATGTGGTGTGTGCATGGCATGTTTGCATGCTTTGTGTGTGGGGAGTGTGTAGTGATATAGTGTGTATACATAGTATGTGTTTGTTGTGCGTGTTTGGCATGGTGTGTTTTCTATGTGCCTGTCTTGTTTCTGTGTGGTGTGTGGCCTGTGTTGTGTGTGTGAGTGTGGTGTGTGATGCATGGGTGGTATATGAAGGTATGGGGGAGTGTCTGTATGGTATGTGGTATGTGGTGTGTATGTGGCATGGTGTGATGTGTGTGTTGGGCCTATTCTGTGTATTGTGTGGGATGTGTGTGGTGTGTGTTTTTGAAATTCCTTCTGGATTATGAATGTTACCTAGTTACTAGCATTAATCAAAAGGAAAGATAAACAGCTCACACTCTGTCCCTCCCCGCTCAACACCCTTCTGTGGCTTCCCTGCCCTGGGGAGAAAGTCCAGACCCTCAGGCTGGCTTTGCAGATGTTTGGCCAACCACTAGGCCCCCCACCTGCCTCTCCACTTACCAATATCCATTCCCAAGATGTGTCTGATTGTTTCCTGCCCCCTTAGCCTCACATCTGCTCTTCCGTCTGCTTGGAATAGCTTTCCCGTCATTTCACATACCCACCTTGTCTACCTGGAAAACCTGCAATCACCCTGCAGTCCCAGCTGCACCCCCTCCTCTTGATGAGCCCTTTCCAGGCAGAGCTGAGGAACCTTCCTGAAAACAGTAGCCATATTCCCACCTCCACACCTTTGCACATGCTGTTCCTTCTGCCTGTTCATGTTTTTTTTTTTTTTTTCTCTTACCAATAAAGTGCAGCTCATCTTTAAGACCCGATTCACGGGTCACCTCCTCTGTGAAGCCCTCTTACCCAACCCCCACTCCCAGGCCATCAGTATCTTCCTCCTCCGAGCTCCCCCAGGCTCTGTGTCCCCCTCCTTCACAGCCTGGACCACCCCAGTCTTGACCATGTGTGTCTGTGGGGCCTCCCCCTCCTAGTCCTAGAGGCCCTCTAGGCAGGGCCAGGGTCTGACTGATCCGGGGTCTCCAGCAGGACACCCTGGCATCCTCACTTCAGCAGACACATCCTGGCACCTGTCCTGAGCCAGGCCTGTGCTACACGAGCAGGAAACGTCAGTGTCAGTAATATCCAGACCCATCCTCAAAGCTCTCATCTAACCAGGGAGACAGAGTCAAACACAAAGAGGAATGTTTGCTGAACTCACTCAGTTCTCTCCGAGAAGCTCTAAGGGTTATGATGACATAGGCAGATGAGGAAACTGAGGCAGGAACAGGGAAGACCGTGCTCCCAGAAAAGCCAGGACACCTATCTGACCCTCCCTTCCCCTCCAGGCTTCCCTCTACCTCACTGTCCCTCTTATCAAGAAACTCCAGTTCTTGAGAATATCGAGGGGCAACACGTAAGTGAAGACCCTCCATGGTGTCCCTGTTTGGGTCTTGCCTCCCCTGTCACACCAGAAGCACCCTGACTTTCTCTCTAATTTTCTTTCTATGCAGCAAGGCTGCTGGGTGCTCCAATTCCATGGGTAGGGGGTGTATGAGGGCAGTAGAGAGGATGTGGGTGATCAAGGGGAAGTAGGAGACCCAGGGTTACCCAATGTCAGAGGTATGGACGAATAGAACTGAAGTCACCCAGGGTTACCCAAGGCCGGAGGTACGGACGAATGGAACTGGAGTAGAACATGCCAGCCACTCCCAGCATGAAAGCCAGCAGTTGTTCCTGCACTCAACGGCTGCAAAGATAGTCACATGCAAGCCACACACCCTGTCCTCCGGCCCTCCTTCCTGTTCTGCTCCCCTCCACCCGGACTGGCCACCCTAACTCAGTCAGTCTGGCCTCACTTAAAACTCCCACCAATGGGCTCCTGTCCTATAGATCTGTGCCCTGGACCACCCACCCTCTCTCTCCCCCTCACCTGGACACTTCTTGCTGGCACCCAACCAAGAATCCCCTCACTTTGCACATACCAGAGTGAGTAATAAGCATCTAAATTCCTTGTGACTGCTGGCTTCATGTGATGCTTTGAATGTCTCCTACATTAGCAAGGATCATTGTGCCCCAAGGCTGCTGCAGTGCAGGGACAGCCTCAGTGCCGGGCATGGCACTCACCTTTGGCATTGCAGCTCTCACTTACATCAATGGGCCCAATTTTCCTGGTCCCATTGAGCAGGTTGCAGCCTGGTTGGGACATGCATCCCTGGACTTTCAGATTGGTGGAGATGTTCGCTATGAAAAGGGGGAGAGGGGGAGAGATAAAGACACTGATGTGAGGACCATCCGACCCCTGAGAGAGGTGCACATCCAGGAAGCTAGGCCCACCCTCCTCTGGGTCTCCTGCCATGCCTCGGCTTACCCTTGCTTCCCAGAGACTCAGGTCTCAGTCCCCAGACCCCCCAGTTCAGGCCTGGCCTACCTCCCCTGAGCTGGAGGACTCCATTGTAGCAGTGCGTGTACCCGGCAGGGCAGATCTGCTCTGCTGCATCCTCTGGACATCCGAATGTAGGAAAGCAGACTGGGCACCGCACTGGCCCGGGCTCTGGGGGGTGACAGACAGAGTGAGGGGCACCCAGAGGGCTCTGGATTAAAATCAGATGCCTTCTCTCCACCCTGCTTTTGCCCTCCCCAAGAATCAACCTGCTGTCTCCCCAGCGTGCTCTCCTGGGGCGCCTCTCATCACAGCCTCGGTGCAGGGAATGAATTAGGGATGTGTGGCTAGTGAGAGCAAAGGAGAGCGACTATGAGAAGTGGGGAGAGGCACCTGGGGACTGAGTACAGGAGGGGTACGGAAGAGACGGGAGTGACAGGCAGCCAAGAAGTGAAGGAGGGAGCCAGGGAGCAGTCCAGGGACAGGGAAGGTGGTCGTGAGTCCAAATAAACAGCCCCTCTGTGCTCACCTCCAGGCCCTCAGCCTCTATCCCTCCCTCCTCCCTACAGTCCCTTCCCTCCCCTCCCGGTTTGGTCCCTCCTCCTCTGGCACCTGTTGGGAGGGGCGGGGCCCAGAGCGGGGCGGTGGTGGAGAGGTCGTTGCAGAAGTCCTTCTGGCGACACACGTGGGTGTAGGAGACTACGGAGAGGCCCGGGCCTGCCCTGTGGTGGGTGACCTGGGCCTCCTGGTCCTCTGCCTGCGTGCAGCTCTTGCTGAGCACCAAGTTCACTTGGGGTCCTGGACCGCGAGAGGGAGACAGACGGGGTGGCGATCAGGGCTCCAGGGTCCTAGAGGGACGGTCTGCATCGAGCCCTAGGGTGAAAGTCTGGAGAGGAGGCAACTGGGCACCCAGGGGTTGCCCTGACTGGGGAGGGGAGGAGCTCCTGGTCTCGGGGTTGGGGCTAGGTCTCTGCACCATGTGCTAGCCAGGACAAAAGGGGGCGGGGGCGGGGTCTCTGCTCTGGGGAGCACTTCTCACCGTTCTCGATGAACATCAGCGTGTCCTGGCAACCCCAGCCGATCTCACAGGATTGCTGGCCAGCTGTCCACTGCAGGGGCATGTCCGATACATTCCGCACGAACTGAAGTGTCCCCCACTGGCAGACCAAGGCCTGCTGTCCTGGGAGGGAGAAAAGCAAACCCATCTCAGCAGGGTGGCCCTGATCATCCACCACACCAGGGAAACCCCCTCCGGGTCGGGGTCGTCACTCACGGGGCAGCATGAAGGTGACCCCCAGGAGGGCCAGCAGTGGGCCAGGGCCCATGACCAGCCTTTCTTCTCTTTCTGCCAGGAAGCCAGCCCTTTATACCTTCCTTTACCCAAGACAGCCAGGAAAGGGTGGGGAAGGAAGGGCCTTACTAAATGAGGTCCTGGGCCACACCCTCTGAGCTCCAGCTGCTTGAAGAGCCTGGATATCTGGGTGTCCCAGGAATCCGGGAGCCCCGCCCCACCCCTTCCACAATCGGTAACTGAGGCTTCCTGATCCCCACGGTCCCACTGGTCCAGATCCCCACCCCTCTTTTCCTCTGAGCCCTGCTATGTGGGTCCTCACTCCCACCCTGTGTCAGAGTAGTTTGGGAAGGTGGTTTTCTCGTCTCTCATGGCACCCGGGCCACATCTGCTCCAGGTGAGGAAATGGCCCCAAACGTCTGTGAGGTCATTGTTCACTGGGCATTGGCTGGTCCCTGTGTTCTCCTTGCCTGGCTTCTGCCCCCACGAGCTTCCTCCTTCTCTGTTCTTTCTCTTTCCTTCCTATATTGCTTTCCTTTCTACTCCTTTTTTCATGATTTTCTCTCATACTTGCTCTTCTGTGCTCTCCCCTCACTACAGGACATAGGCCCCGAAGTCCCCACTTCCCTGCCTCCCAGGAATGAGTTGAGGTATGGAGTGAGGTGGGGGTGGGAGTGGAGACTGAATATCTATTGAAGAATTAGGATTTTTTTTCTTTTTTTGGCTGTGCTATAACATACGTAATGCAAAATTTCCATTTTAAGAATTTTAAAAATATAATTGTATGGAGTTAATTATATTCACAATGCTGTGTACCCAGAGTCTCTACTTCCAAAACTTCTTTTGTCATCATAAACATAAACTATGTACCCTTTAAGCAATAACTTCTCATTATTCCTTCCCCCCATTTCTGGTTACCTCTAATCTACTTGTATCTCTAAAATTTTTTTTAATTTACTTTTTTTTTTAATTGACCCATGATAATTGTATATATGTACCTTTCCATAATGTATGTTCTTGGCTCCTTTGTTGAAAATCAGTTGGCTGTAGGTTGTTGGTTTTATTTCTGAATTCTCTATTCTGTTCCATTGGTCTATGTGTCTGTTTTTGTGCCAGAATCATGCTGTTTTGATTACTATAGCTTTGTAGCATATTTTGAAGTCAGGGAGTGTGATGCCTCCCATCTTGCTCTTTTTGCTCAGGAATGTTTTGGCTCTTTGGGGTCTCTTGTTGTTCCATATAAATTTTTTAATTGTTTTTTTCTATTTCTGTGAAGTGTGTCATGGGTAGTTTGATGGGGATTTCATTGACTCTAGATCACTTTGGAATCAATATTTGACAATATTGGTTCTCCCAATCCATGAGCATGGGATGTCTTTCCATTTTTTGTGTGTCTTTTGTGTGTGTGTGTGTGTGTGTGTGTGACTGGTAAGGGGATCGGAACCCTTAGCTTGGTGTCGCCTGTACTGCATTCAGCCGGTGAGCGCACCGGCCATCCCTATATAGGATCCAAACCTGCAGCCTCAGCACTCCCAGCGCCACACTCTCCCGAGTGAGCCATGGGTTCGGCCCTGTGTGTTTTCTTTACATGAGATGTCTTTACATTTTTGTGTCTTGTTTTTGATAGTTTTACTTGTAGAAATCTTTCACCTCCCTGGTTAAATTTACTCCTAGGTATTTTGGTTTTTGTTGTTGTTGTTGCTAAGTAAATGGAATAGCTTTCTTAATTTCTTTTTCTGCAAGTTCATTGTCAATTTATAGAAATGCTATTGATTTTTGTATGTTGATTTTGTATCCTGCAGCTTTACTGAATTTGTTTACCAGGTCTAGGGGTTTTTTGGTAGTCTTTAGATTTCTCTCTATATAAAATCATGTGATCTGCAAACAAGGGACAATTTGAGTTCCTTCTTTCCAATTTGGATGCCCCTTATTTATTTCTCTTGCCTAATCGCTCTGGCTAGGACTTTCAGTACTATTTTGAATAAAAGTGATGAGAGTGGGCATCCTTATCTTGTTCCAATTGAGGATGCCTAGTTGTCCAATTCCAGTTCTGTTCAGTAGTCAGCTGTGGGTTTGTCATATATAGCCTTTATTGTATTAAGATACTTTTTTCTATATTTAATTTGCTGAGAGTTTTTTTGTTTTTGTTTTTTTTTTTTTGTCTTAAGCATAACTCTTTATTTATTTTGTTTGGTCTGGAATGCTCACAGTGGTCCTTTTATTTTTTTCAATTTTATTTATATTTATTTTTGTGGGATACAGTGTATTGTTTCAATACATGCATATATTGCACAATGATTCATTTAGGGTAGATAGCATAGTTTTGTACCCATTAGTCCACCCCTTCTCCTCCCCCCAACCCCCACCCACTAGCCTCTGGTAACCATTATTCTACTCATTAATTCTATGAGAACCTTTTTTCTTTTTTAGATTCCACATATGAGTGAGACCATACAGTATTTGTCCTTCTGTGCCTAACTTACTTATTTCACGTAAAATGGTAGTTTCCAGTTTCATCCATGTTGCTGCAAATGATAGGATATCATTTATTTTCATAGCTGAATAGTATTCTACTGTGTATGTATACCACAGTTGGTTTTTTTGTTTTAATCCATTCATCTGTTGATGGGCATTTAGGTTGATTCTATCTCTTATGTACTGTGAATAGTGTTGTGATGAACATGGGAGTGTGGATGTCTTTTTGATAATTCATTTCATTTCCTTTGGGTATATACTCAGTAGTGGAAGTGTGATACCACCAACTTTGTTCTCTTTGTCCAAGATTACTTTAACTATACAGGGTCTTTTGTGATTTCATACAAATTTTAAGATCATTTTTTCTATTTCCATGAAAAATGTCATTGGTATTTTGATAGAGATTGCGTTGAATGTGTAGATTGCTTTGGATAATATGGACAATTTGATGTTGTTATTCTTCCAACCCATGAACATGGGATAGATTTCCATTTATTTGTGTCCTCTTCAATTTTTTTCACCAGTGTTTTATAGTTTTCACTGTAGGAGTCTTTCACCTCCTTGTTTAAATTTACTCCTAGGTTTTTTTTTTTGTTTTGATAGCTTTTGTGAATGGGATTACTTTCTTGATTTATTCTTCAACAATTTCATTATTGGTGAATAGGAAGGCCATTGCTTTTTGTGTGTTGATTTTGTATCCTGCCAGTATACTGAATTCAACTATTAGTTCTAGTAATTTTTTTGGTGGAGTCTTTAGGGTCTTCTATGTATATGATATGTCATCTGCATATAGGGATAGTTTGACTTCCTCCTTTCTGATTTGGATGTCCTTTATTGCTTTCTCTTGCCTTATTGTGCTGGCTAGAACTTCCAGTACTATGTTGTAGAAGAGTAGGGTAAGTGGGCAACCTTGTCTTATTCCAAATCTTAGAGGAAATGCCTCAAGTTTTTGTCCTATCAGTATGATATTAGCTATGGTTTTGTTGTGTATGATCTTTATTGTGTTGAGTTACATTCCTTCTATACCTAGTTTGTTGAGTGTTTTTATCAAGAAGAGGTGTTGATTTTATCAAATGCTTTTTCTGTATCTATTGAGATAATCATATGTTTATTTTCTCTCATTCTCTTGGTGTGATGTATTATGTTTATTGATTTGCATATGTTGAACCATCCTTGCATCCCTGGCATGATCCCACTTGATCAGGGTGTATTATCTTTTTGATGTACTGTTAGATTCAGTTTGCTAGTATTTTATTTAGGATTTTTGCATCTACATTCATTAGGAATATTGGCCTGTTTTCTTTTTTGTTGTGACCTTGCCTGGTTTTGGTATAAGGGTAATGCTGGCCTGCAGTATGAGTTTGGAAGAATTCTGTCTACTTCAACTTTTTGAAATAATTTTAAAAGTATTGGTATTAGTACTTCTTTAAGTGTTTGGAAGAATTCAGCAGTAAAGCCATGTGGTCCTGGGCTTTTCTTTGTTGGGAGACTTTTTATTACTGATTCAATCTCGTTACTTGTTGTTGGTCCATTTGGGTTTTCTATTTCTTCTTTTTTGTATTACACTTATTTATTTATTATTATTATTACTTTTTACATTTAAATATGTTGTGGAGCAGTGGGGGGGACAGAGGTGAGGGTAGGGGGTGGGGCTAGCCTAGTTGTGAATGGCAGGGGGGTGTGGCTGAGGCCCATGGCCTCCCCCACCCTGGCTTGGGAGCCTGCAGGGACTTCTGCAGGGGCTTGGTCCTCACTGGGCTGGATGTAGACATGGGGGGGTACGGGTAAGGCCCTTGGCCCCCCAACCCCAGCTCAGGAGCCCAGAGGCTTCTGGCAGTAGCTTGGCCATCTCTGGGCTGGATGTAACTAACATCAGAGGGGTGTGGATGAGGATCTCAGACCACTCACCCTGTCTCAGGAGCTGAGGAGGTTTCTGACTATTTTAAGTTTTATAGGTGTTCTTTGGTGGTATTTTTTTTTAAGTTTTATAGGTGTTCTTTGGTGGTGTTAGACTTTTACTGGTTAATATCAAAACTTTGTCTCTGATCTGTGGGCATTTTGTGTTTTCTTTCAGTTCTGTGTTGGATTGTTAGCTACCCCCACCACTTAAACTCTGCACTGGAACTAATTTGTTGTCCTTTGTTTACTTCTAAAATAAGAGAACTTCCTATGGGGCCCAGCAATTGAGCCCTGTGGTTGAGCTAAATTGCTGCTTTGCTGCTGATTCCCTGGGGAAAGCTTTTGTGCAGCTCAGGTTTTAATTGTTGACCTTATAAGCACTTCCAGGTCTTGTGAGGTCCAATATACCTGGATTGTATGGCAACTCTGGTCTGGGCCTGAGTCTTTTCAGCAAACTGCACCCTTGCAGTTCTATATCCCTGACCAGTCTATCCTGAGTGGGCCTGTGCTGATTGGAGGGCAGATCAGCTGTCCATGCTG